ATTTAAAATACATAGGAATTCCCACGATTTTAAAACATTAAGAGTTTTCCTTATTTGAACAATAAATCATAAAATAAAAAAACAACGGCGTGTAAGATTCTAATTGTTAGGAAGAATTATATTTTCCATCTTACCTGATTTTGGGGTCTCAATTGAACCTTGTCACGACCCAATTTCCAAACCCGGTCGTGATGGCGCCTCTCGTGAAGACAAGGCTAGCCAACTAACCCAAATCGTCTCTTTAACAATTTTTAAACATAAATGAATAGATAAATACAGCTTAACGACAATAATAACCAGTATTTACAACCCGACCGGGGTGTCACAAGTCACGAGCATCTAAAGAAACCTGAACACAACTACAGGGCCAACATTATACAAAAATAAATTCTGGAATGCTAAAGACAACGTTCGGTGCCGCGAACGCTGGCGGTCACCTTACTCAGCTACAATAGTACTACCTTCAATCAGCTAATAACCCGCTACCGGGTGAACAATACCTGCAACTGCACGCGAGGTGCAGGGAGTAAAGTGAGTACTTCCAACTCAGTGAGTAATAAGAGTAAATAATAACTGAGAGGCAAGAAATCACGTATGAGCACTCAATCATGCTATATAGGACAGTACAACCCTTTGAGAAAACAGTAAAACCGTGAAAAAAACCTTTAGAAAATATCTGGCTCAGTTTAAAAACCTCTTTTAAAAATATCCTTTTCCAACAGTCAAGCAAATGAATGCGTAATCAGATAGTGCAAGTCCGCACATAAGTCAGCCCCTCGGGCACAACACTCCACTAACAATTAACACCAGGGCGTCTGGTAAACAGTGCAAGAAGTAGCATGAATGCCAATGAAATGAGTGTGCTGAATGTCATGACACGTATTACAAACAGGAACCAATGCATGAATGCAATGCAATGCATATGACCGCTGCGGCGTGCAGCGCGATCCATTTGGGTACCCGCGCTCACTGTGGGGGTTCAGACTCCGGAGGGGCTCCTACAGCCCAAGCGCAATATCAATATAACACCGTGCGGCGTGCAGCCCGAGCCATCCATATATCCAGAAATCACTATAACACTGCTGCGGCGCGCAGCCCGATCCATGCTCAGTCCAGAAATGCACATAAGCCCCTTGGCAATAATAAAATAGCAGTTCTCAGCTCAAAACGTCAGTAAAATATCATTTAAGTTTTCAAATCATGAAAAATGGCTGAATTTGCAAAACAGTATTAAAACCTTGGACCGAGGTCAAATAACATACAAAGTAATGCAAAATCAGTGATATCAATCCCTGAAGGATTCAAATAATCGGCACGAAGACCAAAATATGGCAATCAGCCCAAATCATGATGATAACAAGTAGTTTCAGTCAAATACGTAGTAATTTCATCAATCGGGACGGACCAAGTCACAATTCCCAACGGTGCTCTACCCCACGCTCGCTATCCGGTGTGCAAGTCACCTCAATACAGCACTATGATGTGCAAACCCGGGGTTTCAAACCCTCAGGATATCATTTACAAGTATTACTCACCTCGAACCGGTGAAATCCCTAGCTCGCGACGCCTTTGCCCCTCGAATCGTCCTTCACGCGCGTCGAATCTAACCAAAATCAGAGCGAATACATCACAATATGCTAAGGGAACAAGACCCAATCGAAAACAATCGAAAATTAGCAAGAATCTCGAAACTAGCAAAACCCGAGCCCCGGGTCCGCTTCTCGAAAAATTACGAAATTCCCATCACCGGATTCCTCGTCTCGCCACGAGTCCATACATATAAAATTCACCAAAATCGGAGTCCATTTGACCACTCAAATCCCTAGTTTAACTTTCTTAAGTTTCAAGCCCTAACCTCCATTTTTTTACCCTTTAATTCCTTGGGTTTTCAGTGTTAATCCATGTTTATACACAATAATATCATAATCTAAGTCCAAGAATCCATACCTGATGATAGCCCTCGAAACCCTCTTCAAAAATCGCCCAAAATCTCCTTAGTCCGAAGTCCAAAATGTTTCTTCTCTTTCAAAATCGTGAAAACACTGTTCACTTAAACCCAGCCAGGTCTCCGCTTCTGCGGTTGGGATACCGCACCTGCGGTTCCCGCTTCTGCGTCAAAATAACCGCTTCTGCGGTCTAACTTAAAATCCCCAGGACCGCTTCTGCGGTCGCAAACTGCTCCTGCGATGTCCGCTTTTGCGGACTGCCTCTCGCTTCTGCGGAAATTGCCAACCCCTCATGGACCGCTTCTGCGATCGCTCACCCGCTTCTGCGGAACCGCTTCTGCCGTCCGTTTCCGCAGAAGCGGAAACATCAGATGACAGCAGCAACAGACCTGAAGCAAACTTTAAAAACTCTTGTTTAATCACTTGAATTCACCTCGAGGCCCCCGGGACCTCAGCCAAAGGCACCAACATATCCCAATACATCATACGAACTTGCTCCAATCATCAAAACACACCTAAAAACACTAAAATCATCGATTCACATCGGATTCAAGCCTAAGTTCTTCAAGAACTTCCGAAATGCACTTTTGATCAAAAACCCGACCAAACGATGTCCGAATGACCTGAAAATTTGCACACATATCCAAAATCACTTAACGAAGCTACAGCAACTCTCGGAATTCCATTCCGACCCCCGGATCAAATTCTCACTCATCCACCGGAATTCGCCAAAATACTTACCTCGCCAATTCAAGCCTAATTCTACACCGGGCTTCCAAAATCAATTCCGATCGCACTCCCAAGTCACAAATCATCCCCCGAAGCTAACCGAATCACCGGAAATCACATCCGACCCTTCTAACTCATAAGTCAACGTCCGGTTGACCTTTCCAACTTAAGCCTTCCTTAAAGAGACTAAGTGTCTCATTTCCTATCCAAACCAATTCAATTCAACTATAACTCACTCGTTGCTGATAATGAAACATGAAGAAGCAGTAAATGGGGGAAACGGGGCTGTAATACATGAGACGACGGGTCGGGTCGTCACAAACCTGTACCCACCTTGTAATTTTTTTTGCAAGTCTACCCACTTTACGTTCAACTTCAGACTTACCGGGTCTGAAGTTAAAAAAAAATAGTCTGAAGTCAAAAACTGCACTTTAGATGCACTTAATGCCAAATAGGTCTGAAATGCAACCAATGATTTCATACACTTAAGGCCAATAAGTCTGAAGTGAAAAATTGCATTCAAATGCACATAGTGCCAAAGGGTCTGAAGTGCAACAAACGTTTTCCTACACTTAAGGCGAATAAGTCTGAAGTGAAAAATTGCACTTCAATGCACTTTAAACCAAATAGGTCTGAAGTAGAACCAATGGTTTCATGCACTTAAGGCCAATAATTCTGAAGTGAAAAATTGCACTTCAGATGCATTTAAGGCCAAAAGGTCTGAAGTGCAACAAACGCTTTCTCACATTTAAGGCCAATAAGTCTGAAGTGAAAATTGTACTTCATATGTACTTAAGGCCAAAAGGTCTGAAGTGCAACCAACGTTTTCATGCACTAAAGGCCAAATAGGCATGAAGTGCAAATTGTCCGGAAACAGAAATTTGTTTCGAATTTTAACAATCCAATATACAATTTAATACCTAAATCTACTCCAAATAAGCTCAAATTTGAAACATAACGTCCAAATATCATCAAGAACAAACTCCAATTATCAATATGTCAAAACAACAATAAATCTAACGAACCCATTTTGCAATTAAGAAAAAGAAAAAAGAAGAAACCCTAAGAAATAGTAAAAAATAAAGTGCCATAACAGCTCACTATTGTAAAACATCATAAACTACCTTAAAATATGTTCACAAATACCATATAAAATCACTGTTACCCGAAGAAGAAGAAGAAGAAGAAGAAGAAAGAGGAGAAAAGGGTCTAAAGTTGTTTCAAAAGTGGGTGCAAGTTATAAAAAAAAATTTAAAAAGTAGATACAAGAACGATCAAATAGGACACCAGTGCAATTTTTACCAAGTTAATGGGTTGCGGCGTTGTGTGTCGGTCCTTTGTAAACTATATAACCTCATCGATGATGAATTTATTAAAAAACTAATATGTTTTTGTGAATTTCGGTCTGTTTGAGCAACAATTTTGTTTTTAATTTTTTTTATTGTGAAAAAAATTCTCCTTAATTAGACAATGTAAAAAGTCTTAATATTTAAGATTTTAAATCACTTAAAATTTTATCTTATACTATTATAATTACTATCTTTCGACTTGTGTTTCATCAAACTGTATTGTGATTGTTGAGTAGACCAACTTGCTTCTTATACAATTTAACCTTATTATTTTGTTCAATTTCATTAAATGACTATAACTTCCTTTGTAAATATTGAAAAGGAAAATTTAGCAGACCCTTACAAGATTNCTTCTTCTTCTCTTTTAACTCCAACTCTTCCTTCTGATGTTTCAGTTTCTCCTCTACCCTCTCCTGCTCCTGTTTTTTCTGCTCCATCTTCTAATCCTCCTCCTCTTCGAAGATCTAGCAGACCTCATTCTGTCCCTGCCTATCTTCAGGACTTTGTTTGTTCCAACCTTCCTAATTCCATCTTTGCTCCTGTTTCTTCTAGTTCTGAGTCTACATCTTTCAATGCTACCACTTCACAGCTCCACATTCCTGAGCCTTACACTTACTCCCAGGCTGCTGCTGTCCCTGAGTGGCAGGAGGCCATGAGGAAGGAGTTTGAGGCTTTGGAGGCAAATAGAACTTGGGATATAGTTGAGTTACCCCCTGGTAAAAAGCCTATAGGCTGTAAATGGGTATATAAAGTAAAATATAAGGCTGATGGGACTCTAGAGAGGTATAAGGCCAGGTTAGTAGTTAGAGGTGATACTCAGGTTGAAGGGGTTGATTTTCATGAAACATTTTCCCCTGTTGTCAAAATGTCTACTGTAAAAACATTGATTGCTGTGGCTGTCAAACAGCACTGGCCCTTGTTCTAACTTGATGTCAATAATGCGTTCTTGCATGGGGATCTTGATGAAGAGGTTTTCATGAAAATACCTCCTGGTTTGACTGTTTCTCCCTCTTCATCTACTTCTCCTCCTTTGGTTTGTAAACTACTCAAATCCCTCTATGGTTTGAGACAGGCTTCCAGGCAATGGTATGCAAAGTTGTCTCAGGCTCTTTGCTCTAGAGGATATTCTCATTCTTTGAATGACTACTCTCTATTCACTAGGAGTTCTGGTTCTTCTTTGGTGATTTTAGCTGTGTATGTGGATGACATAATTCTGACTGGTACTGATCTATCTGAGATTTCATCCTTAAAAGGCTTTCTACATGAGCAGTTCAGGATTAAGGACCTTGGTTCCCTTAACTATTTTCTGGGTATTGAAGTGCTTTATTGTGATTCTGGTGTTCTTCTTCATCAAAAGAAATTCACTCATGATTTGTTAGAGTCCTTTGACTCTTCTGCCTCTTCAGCTGTGGTCTGTCCACTTACTATCAATGAGAAGTTGAAGGCTTCTGTTGGTGATCTTCTGCCCAAGCCTGAGGAATATAGGTGTTTAGTGGGCAAGTTGAATTTTTTAACCCACACTCGCCCTGATATCAGTTTTGCTGTCCAGCACCTTAGCCAGTTCCTGCAATCTCCTCGTATTCCCCATATGCAGGCTGCCTTACATCTCTTGCGCTATTTGAAAGGGACTTCTGATTTTAGCCTGTTTTTCAGTCATTCCCCTGATCTTGGCTTAAGAGTCTACTGTAATAGTGACTGGGCTTCTTGTGCTGATAGTAGACGGTCCGTTACTGGTTTTTGTGTATTTCTTGGTGACTGTTTGGTGAGTTGGAAGTCTAAGAAACAGCCTGTGGTTTCTCTTTCCTCTGCTGAGGCTGAATACAGGGCCATGAGTAAAGCTGCTGGCTGAAGTTACTTGGCTTTCCAGATTGTTATCTGACTTTGGTCTTTTTTCTTCTGCTCATGTTCCCTTATTCTGTGATAACCAGGCTGCATTGCACATTGCTCGCAACCCTGTTTTCCATGAGCGGACCAAACATATAGGGCTGGACTGTCATTTTATCAGAGGAAAAATTGGTGATGGCTTGATCAGTTTGGCTCATGTTTCTACTGCTGCTCAAGTTGCTGATATCCTTACCAAGGCACTCCCTGGGCCTGCTCATCATCTCCATCTTCGCAAGTTGGGGGTTCTTTCACCCTCCAACTTGAGGGGGGCTGTTAGAATAATAGAAGAAAAAGGCTGATAGTGCTTGTTGGGCTTTATTGTAATTAGTCATAGTAGTGGCCCAATTGTATCCGGGTCACAGGCCCACTATTTATACCTGTTATCTTTTTAGTCATTATTTCTGTACAAAAAGATTAACATTCATTTTTTGGAATATAGAAAATATCTGATGCTTCTCTCTCTTCTTCTCGAAGCTTCTCTCAAGTTCAATGGCCAATTCTCTGCTTCATTTCTTCTCTAGATTTGTAGTATCTAACATAAAAAGGAGAGAGATATAAAAGACAATAAATACTACTTCATTTTTTTTTTTAAAAAGAGTGAAAAAGGAACGAAATTTGGAAGTTTATGACAGGAATTCAGCAGCAGGGGCGGAGCAAGGGGACACATATAAGGTTAAAACTTTTCTTTTATGTGTGTATATATACACGTACTTTTAATTTGAATCCCCTTGGTAAAAATTCTGCCTCCGTCACTGATCGGCGCCATAAAGTATAAACCTACCCAAGGGAACACAAAATCCGTATACAGTCAAACCTCTCTATAACAACATCCTTATATAACAGCCATTCACCATAAAAGTCAAATTTTTTTTAGAACCGTTTTTCATATTATATTTTACCTCTCTATGACAACTTTTCACCTATAATAATAACAACATTCATCTTTATATTAGCACATTCTTTCTAAAATTACCCTTCTATAACAGCCATGTAGAATTTCTAGGATGACCAATGATAAGAAGGTATTAGTATGACCAAATATTTTAAACTTTAATGCATCACTTACAATAAAAATAAATTACATTAGTATATACTTCAATAATTAAAGATTTTATCTAAATCCATTAAAATAGATCTTTCGTGCATAATGTCTAATATTTAAAGATCACACATACAATCTTTCCCACTGGACAAAGTTTTCATCTTGCATAATGCTTAAGATTTAATGATGCGCTCATAACTTTAATACTTAAATAGTGAATATGTATATATTTTGAGATTTAAATTAAAATTATCATTTTATCTTTTATATTTAACATTAAAAAGGAAAAAAGTTAATTTTGGATAATTTTATCTACCACAACTTTAAATTATTTAAAAGATAAATATTGTTTTATGTATATAACAATCATTCACTATAAAAATCAAAAAAATATCGGAATAATTATAGAGAGGTTTGACAGTACTGTAAAGAAAGAGATTAAAAAGATTTTAGTTAAACAAGCTAAGTATAAAGTATGACCGATGAATTTCAGGTGATATTGTGAGTTGTCCCGCACGTAAGGAGACATGTTTGCAATTCTCAGACCTACACTTAGAGGAAAAATAAACAAAATAGAAATATTCCTTTCGTCACGAACCAATCCAAATTTTAGATGAGATATGAGATTACACAATTCATCAACATTATGAATAAATTAGAAATTTCGTTTTCTTTGGTTGGGTTTATCCCTTCGGTATTCGTTACTTGCATTGAAGTCCGACTATATTCGGATTCGTGCCGCGTAAGGTTAATTTAAGGGGAACCGCTCCCTAACATAATTTATTTTCATACCTAAAGCTCGAACGCGAGACCTCTGGTTAAGGATGGAGAGATCATATATCCATCCGTTTTTGTTAAACACTAACCGTTTAGTGCCAACATGTTATACCGTTTAGTTTACCAATTAATGTATAAGATAGGGATTTACTTGTAAT